GGTTTAAACTGATTTTCACATGGATTTTATGTCCGCACACATCTAATTGTTTTAGTGATTTCTGCTGCAAAAGACCCTGTTAACCCCAGTTTTCAGTAAATGAAGTATTTTTATTACAAGCACAGCTCAGATGTGATTTGCTTCTAGTAGTAAAAAGGGAAGACAAGTATGGAGAGAAGATGTAATTGAGCTGCAGATTATGAGCCAGTCTCTGAAAGTAATTTTTTAAAAAGCAATAAATTGTTAATTGCCAGTCTGCAGCCTGTGTGCACAGCAAACATATCTTTTTAATCTAATTTTTACAAATAATTTTGCATTAGAATTTTTTCAGAAAATGTCTCTATTGTTTGATATTCAAAATATGACTTGATAAACAGATTTTTACTTTGAAAATTAAAAGCCCAACACATTGTGGACCACAGTGGGCAAAGCAAAAGAAAAGAGAGGAAGCTAGAAAAACCATTACGACTTTCTAGAGAGTGAAAATTACAGTGTGAGGTGAAAGAGCAAAATGAACCATGTGAAGAACATGTGAACGAGAAACGAAAGAAGAAATAAGTTGAGGAGGCAAAAGAGAATAAAAATACTGCAGAGAGAAGGTGAGAGCTTAGTGAGCCCTTTTCAGGTGAGGTCTCGCAGCGCCGAACATATGACAGAGAGGAGTGCCACTTGCTGTGGTAAAAGAAGGAGATGGTAGAAGGTGGGAAACAGGGAATTAGAGGAGGGGTGCAGGGGTGAGTAGCTACCCTGTGGGCCTCATTATTTTCCTGCTGTTAATTTCACTCGCACATTTTCTCACCCCAGTGCTGTTGATTGGAGAGAAGAACGCTTTGTCGTGGAAACAAAAAGACCCCTTATTTCAGCTGCAGCACTGCAGTTAACATGGTGAGGGGCGAGAAGAAGCATATGCAGGAACATAAAAACGCTTCTTCTTTTTTTTTAATTGTCTTCCAGCCAAGTATGTGTTAGTGTGACTGTTGTTTGTGGGAGCGGGGAGATCCTGTTGGTTTACTTCCTGTCACTGATGACCTGATCCATGTTTAACCTTTGGCCCTGGGTCCCTTCCCCCTTGAAAACCACATGTCCCTCACAAACACGTACACACACACACGCACACCCACACATACATATAATGCTCGCTTGGAGTGCAGACCCCTCTGATCACTCAAGCTCCCCACAGAGCGGTAGATTTTCACTTTAATTTTCTGAGAAAAGGCAATAGGCAATAGCAGAGACAGTGAGACAGAATGATACGCAGACAAAGACAGCAAGTGAAAGACAAAACAAAGATACTACGAAAGGATACTTTAAAAGAAAAATGTCAGATGTAAGATAAACTTGACGGTATAGTTTTTATTTTGTCCGTCTGGCTTTTAACACTTTGACAGAGAACAAGTAACCTTAATGAAGACTTAATTACAACAATAAAAATATGTTTTAATATAGCAGTTCAGTTTTCATAGAACACAACTAACATGCTTCCAAAATGTCATCACCATCATCTTATGCCTCTGGCTGTGTAGTGTTTTTCCCATTCAAGTAGACATACATACATGTCAGGTTAGTACTCTGTTTGCTATGCATACAGATAACAGAGTGATAATTAGTTCGCTTTGGAACTCAGCATGAAATTCAGCATTATAATGTCAGTATTTAGTTTTATTGAGTAGGATATGTTCTTTAACATTTTTAATTTCAGAATTTATTTTTTTTTTATCTCGGAAAGTTATTAAATAAATCATAGCTGTTTAGCTGATATAAAATGAGAAATATAAATGTTTTCTTTTTTAACGGCAAAGATGCAGAATGACCTTTATCAGTACATTAAATACAGTACAATCTGTGTGTGTGTGTGTGTCATTATCTGTGTTTTAAAATGAATGTGTAGGGCCTACTTCTTTTTGATGTATGAAATGTTCTGGTATTGTTACAGAGCTAATGGCTTCTATGAAATTACTGGGTTCTTGCATGTGTTAATGTGAGCAGGTATGCGTCACCTGTGTGTGTGTGTGTGTGTGTGTGTGTGTGTGTGTGCATGTGTGCACTGATGCCTGTTGTAGTCAATCTATTTATTATATTCTCATTAACATGGAGACAAGAGGCACGGTAAATCACACAGCGATCGATCATAGACTGAATAAACTCCTCTCCTTATCTCTCTTCCCCCTCTCAATTGTATTGTGGTGCCAAGGACCTATCAATATATTTTAATTAATGTCACCCTTAAGGCTTTTCTTCTGTGTGACCGGTGTCTGTTGGTATGAGTGCTAATTTGCAAATATGCCAAAAGAGAGCCGGGTTTTAGGTGAAATTAGCAATCTAATGCACTGCAGGTGCAGGAAACCTACTGCATAATGTTGGTTCAAAGAGAGCCGGGCAGATAGAGAAGGGTAAGTGCAAAGTTGCGAAGCAAAGCTAGACATTTTTTTCTTTTTTGGTCGAAGTGCAGATGGATATGAATGCAAGTAAAGCATTTAACTCTGACGGTATTTCAGCATGAAAGGGTTTTGCCTATTTCTTCCAGTTTCTATACTAAAATCTGCAGGTCGGTATTGGTCCGTCTTTCCCCCAATAGTATCACAGCAATGTGAGTCAGTCACTCACAGAACATCTTCCATAAAAGTAAAATGTCTGCATTTAATCTGGCATTGTCTAATTTTCTTCCTTTCTGTAATTTTTTTCTCCATAGATCACCAACCGCTACATTTATGATACTGTGTTGCTGCTGGCCAATACCTTCCACAGAAAGTTGGAGGATAGGAAGTGGCACAGCATGGCCAGTCTGAGCTGCATCAGGAAGAATTCCAAACCATGGCAGGGAGGCAAAAGCATGCTGGATACTGTCAAAAAGGTATGAAAATGCAGAAGACAACACACACTTTTCCTTGCAAATCTTACAGAAAATGTACTTACTTACTACAGTAAGTATGAAACATACAGGCACGAAGGTAAGCCAGCTTCCGAGTTCTGGATAACTTGTTAGCTATACCCCCAAATTTAGAGCATGAGCTGATCTGAAAAGGTCTGTTGCGTAAAAGTTCATCCAGATATGTATGGGCGCCTGGACACATATAGTGACATACGTGCAAACACCTTTGTTACTACTAACTACTTACTACAATTTGTAACTTAATATGAATTGTCCCACCAACTTAAGTGACATCTATCAGTGTAGGTGCTATCAAAAGCCAGTGTTTGGTTTGCCCGCCTTGTCAGCCTTCTTTACCTGGAGATTGTTGTGGACAGGTAATTCAAATCCTGCAAGGAGAAACATATATGAAAGAGTCAAACACTGCAAAACACCTCTCTTGAGTCTCTTGATACTATAATAACCTTAGATTGACAAATATCAACTCCAAACTTTACCAATAGTATAATTAATATATTGTGTTCTTAAACATTTTCTATGGTTTGAAACCAAAAGTAAATCAGGCCAGGGCATTGCTGAACTAACATACACATACTTTTGTGTACAGAAGCAACAGTCAGTCTTTAAAAAAAAGTTTATACACCTGATACAATCTGATGAATACAATCAACAGTTTAATCTTTCCCATTCCCATTTATATTTGAACTGTTTATATCGCAACGGCCCAAAGTCACTTGACTCTAATCTCAGTTTGTGGACTGTCCATCTGTTTCATCAGCCTCTTGCGGTTCTCTACCGCTGTGTGATGCTTGTAGGTGTGTCCATGCCAGTTTGATAGCTCATACTATGTCTCAAAAAAATAAAAATAAAAATTATTGGAGAACGTATTCCCAATATAAAGTTGTACTCACAGCAGACAACGTGAGTTTGGAGTTGAGTCTTGATTACTACAGTTACAAAAAAAGCACATGCCCATCTCCTAACTACAACATGCAAGTACAATTTCAGATGTCTTCCTATTTTTAGATGTGTCTCATGTGTATCTTTTAGCAGTGGGAATGTATTTGCATTTCAAGACATTGTGCTCATTACATGAAATTTTGGAGACCAGGCACTATTGTTCCTTAGCTGAGACACTCTAGTTGAAACAGCATGATGCAGTCACTGCTTAATTCATTTATATAATGCCATCTCTTGGTATAACTAAAATCACCTCCAGGGATGAAGAATGACATGGAGGAGGCTTTAAATAAGTCTACCATTTTTGTATTGTTCTTATCACATAGAAATCCAATTTTTGTTCATTACTTCGACTGAAAGTTTCCAAGTTCTTGTCTGAGCTCAGTAGACTTCATGACTCAAGTGCTCATGAATTCAAAGGATTGCATACCTTACAAAAAATCCACATGCATCAATCAGCAAGTTTTTTTCAGTTCCTGAATAGTTGACTTTTGGGAGATAGGGGATTTCATCCTGCAGCTGTGATTTTATGAATCTCTGCATTTCACCTTGAGTTTAGGCTGGAGTTTGGCAACACTTTCATCACTGTTAAATCCAATTGGATCAATGCCCTCTATTTTGATATCAATAAAAAACTACTCCAGGGATGGCAGTTTGACTGAATGATGAAGCCAAGTGAAATGCTAATTTAGGATTAGTGTCAGACAATAATAAATGCGGCGCAATGGCTTTCATATCTATCTCTGCATTTCACCTTGAGATCAGGCTGGGGTTTGGCAACACTTTCATCAGCCAGCCCCGGCTGTTAAACCAACCCTGATGGCTGTCTCAACAGAGCTGTGTTAAAGAGCCCTGAGCACTAATAGAGTTGAGTTCAACAGCCTGGCATCAGTTCCATTTTACAGTGTATCAGCAGTGTGCTTTACTTACTTTGCATGCCTGTGTGTTTAATCAGCGTTTTGGTATGCAGGGCCATTATGGTAATGATAAATACTAATTTGCAGCTGTTGATGAGGAGCTCTATTGATGTTGTTGTTTGGTGTTCATTGACAAATTCAGAGTAGCGAATAAAATGCAACAGGTGGAACTGCTGTTACACTGATGCTCAAAGTCTCAAGTGTGTGCTGTGTTTGAGCTGTTAGGATAGTGACATGTAGTCTCCTATCATTGGCTGCTATATGTCCACCTTTGATTGTCAGTGACTCAAGCAGTTTTAGAATTCATTTAACAAATTTATTGATCACTTTTAAGGCACGTAAGTCCTGCGATGCAGCCCAACATCTCCAGCCAGGGCCCATGAGACTGTTTCAAAGTCAAGCCAGAGTTGCTCTCTTTCATGTTATTTTTTAAGGCAAAGCAAGTCAAGTTCATTTATACAGCGCAATTCAGACACAAGGCAATTCAAAGTGCTTAACACTGGCATAGAAATACATCAAAAATAAGACATTAAGAATTGCATTTAAGAAGTTTCCAAACATCAAAAAGCAGCTTTCAGTTCTCTGTTTTTCACTCAGTGGCATGTTCTTTATATCAAGCAATTAAAAAATAGATAATTGTTGCGAATGTATTGTGCCAATACTGAGCTGCCACCATCAATTAACTGAATAATTATGAAAGGCAATGAACAGTATCAAATAAACATGTACTTTATTGAGGGTGACAATGTGTGTGTGTGTGTGTGTGTGTGTGTGTGTGAAAGAGAAAAACTATGTATATACTGTACATATAGTCTAAATTAAAAGACTGCAAGTGTGTATTCATTGCTTTGTAGAGGAAATAATTAGAGTTTAAAAAAGAGTGAGTATATGCAGGTGCCCAAAAAAAGTATAGGCGAAAAGTTTGTTTAACACACACACACACACACACACACACAAAAGTACAAAAGTACCGGTGATGATTAAAAGTGTACCGAAAGTGTGAAGGAGACAAAGACAGAGGGTGAGATAAAGAAATGTATTTTGTTTTGGGAGTTTTTGGACTTTTGCAGTCGACTTTTATCAGTGCAGAACAATTGGTATTCACCGGAGTTAAGCACACAAGCTGTTGGTCTGGAGACAAGCACCAAACCCTCTGTCACACCCACCGGGCTAACACCCCCAACCACCCCACACAGACTTCCGATTTCTCCTTCTTTCTATCTTCCTAATTCTTTGTCTGTTGCCATTCAGAAAATAACCTGACCTCTCCTTCCTCCCACTTTTCCAACCCTTTCTTTCTCTTTCTCCTCATGTTGGTTTCGTCTACATATCTTTCTTTCTTTTCCTTCCCTGCGTCTCTTGCGCCTTCTCTCTCTGGATCCTTTGATGTCAGCTCATACCTGCTGTCACATACCACCTGTTCAGTTCTCCACCAGACAGGACAGGATTAAACTAAACTACGCTGCAGTGGACGGGACTGGGCTGAAGTGGACCAGTCTGAATGAGAGTGGACAGATCGAAAAGGCAGGAAAGTAATAGTAGGGAGGCTGGTATTGCCCACAGACAAATACAAGTTCCATAACCTTTGGTGACCCAGGTTATTCCCAGAACTGAAGAATGCTTCTATTTTAAGTAAATTTTTCTTTTTAATATATACTGTATATAATATATTTATAAAGTGATCCTGACCAAGAACTTAAAAACCTGAACCATATAGTTCTAGGGTCATTCTAATTTAAGCCTTAGACTTAGACACTTATTTCTTCAACATGTTATCAACACAACCTAAAAGTGTCTTCCCAAAACCATGTTTATGTACTGCTAATTTGCAACAGCAAATACATTTGGAAGTATTTAATGTCACTCGGATTACGAAAAGTAATACTTTTAATGAATATAACTGCAAAGTGTTTCCTGGCAACATATTTAATTTGTTTTCCCTCCACTCATGGTAACTAAAGCATGACTATTGTTTGTATGGTTACATTCAAGCAGCCAGAGCACTTAATTAAGTTTTGAGAAAGATCGTAATGGTTAAATACAGAAAATAATGACACAACATGGACTTTTTTACTTTTTTAAATATTTAACCAAAAACAGGATCTTTCCCTAACTTTAGTAAATGGTCTAATTGTCTAAACCAAGCGGGAAAGCAAGTTCTCCCACAGTTCTGGACTTCGTACACCCCAATCCAACCCTGCAATTTCTTTACACAAGAACACAGTTATTATGGATTTTTATTATTTCTATCAACATCATTTTTAGGAGTCAGGGTTGATATATATCAGGAGTTTGTGTTCTCTCATGCATTTTCTCCATAGACGAAAGACAACATTGACATCTGTGACATTACTTGTAGGTTTCTGAAGGGATGTTTTGCCTGTGTTTGGACTTACTGCTCTCAGCAATCTTGCCATTTGTTTAGTGAAGTTGGGTAACCAAGTAGAGTACGGATAAAGCTTAAGTGTGATGATCAAAAACACAACTGTATGTTAAGGCCTGATAGTACCTTCAGTCAAAGCAAATGCAAAAAACACACTTCCTCTTTGAGCCTTACATATAATGGTGTAATGAAGCAATAATTTAACAAAAAAGGCCACTACTGCACAAACAAAAGTAAGTTTGGCTTCACATTCCTGATGAAGAGATGATGATATATATTGACTTCAGGTTTTCTTTTTCTTTAAAATTCATTCAGAAGTTTTTGTGGAGTAGTTGCATCTTAAGGCAATTTGACATGGGCTTTAACAATTGCTTGATTTTCTTTTTTCAGTCTGAGTTGGCTCTGATCTTTATCATGGTCATTTCAGTTCAATTCAGTAAAACTCTTTCCTGTTTAATCTGTCCGGTCTGACATTGTTCCACTTTGCTCTTTGTGTTTCTGCTCTTTTCCTCTCTCTCTCGTCTTTGATCCAAAGCAATAGGTGAGTTGAAAGGTTAGCTCGTTCTTTGACCATGACTACTCTAAAATCTTCAACAGAAACATGAGCACTGCTACAAACTAAAGGAGAGAAGCCAGAATGAGTGTGAATGTATGTGTGTGTGTGTGTGTGTGTGTGTGTGTTCTCCCAGGTGACGGAGCATGGACGAGAGAGATACTCGTTTGATCCCTGGAACAAAGAGAGAGGGGAGGGCAAAGGAGAGAGCAGCAGAAAGAGACAGCAGGAGGGAGAGAGAGAGAGAGAAGAGAGAGGAGAGAGAGAAGGAGAGAAGAGAGAGAAGAGAGGGAAGAGAAGAGAGAAGACGCAGTGAGAGAGACAGATTAGCTGAAGGGTGGAAAAAGAGAGAGTTGAGAGAAAGAGAGAGAGAGAGACAGACAGGAGGGAGAGAGCGTGAGACAGGGGGTTAGGAGGGATCAGGCCTCACGAGAACAGAGCTTTGTTGAAGGGGGTTTGAAGATCACGAGCAGCTTTGACAAACAGAGTGAGAAAGAAAAGGAGAAATGTGTCCACAAACTGTTCAGTGCACACACTCTAATGGTTGGAATGGCTAGTTGTGTTGTTTCCTGTTGCCTGAGACATCACATACGTTTAAAGGGTTAAAATAAATTAGAATAAACTTAAGTTAGTAATTGTAAATACTGTGTGAACCACAAATCTTACCTTTCGAGGCAGCGAGATCGCAAAAATCCGAATCCGAACTGCAGTGGTTGGACCAATCAGCATTCCTTGAGGAATGTGTCATGGAGCTATGAGCATTGGTTTGTGTGGTGTGTATGTGTGACGACGTGTGTGAGAGTGACTTCTGTGAAGTTTTATCAACATAACAAGAAAATCATGATTGTAGTCGCAAAAAGTTTATCCATCAATATATTTTTATTTTTGCCAAAATACTCACAGACAATGCAATTATTTAGAATTCCCTATAATATTTCCACTTTTGCAACACAATATCTGCTTTTTCAGGCAATACAGCAGGTTAAATTTGGTTATATTTAGGGACTCCAAAGCTCTGGGGTTAAGATTAAACCTGAATTGTGATCTTGGTTAAATATTGAAAAAGTTACTTGGTGAACAGAAGTAGAGACACAACGTGTTTACAATATTTTATTTCTTACCAAAACCACAGGTCTTTTTCAAATTGAACTAAAGTGTTGCCTAAACCTAATCAGTATGCAGCACAGGGGATTTCAAACCTGGAAAATAAAACACAAACAAACAGTGGTAACGTGGGACAATATGCTTTTTGTAATTTGGGTGAATCAACACTTTAACAATCTTCAAACAAAGTCGTACATATAGATTACACTCAAATTGTTTTCTGGCAACTCAACAGTTTCATCATCAGTAATGCTTATGCCATAGTACGGTGTGAATTCCTTTACCTTGCCTATGAATCAGCCCCAGAAAAACAGCCTACACTACCATCGGTGGATTTCACTGATGTGGAGGAAAAAAATGCAAGGCAAATCATTTTCCTCCAGTACGGTCATCCAAGGCTCCTGACAGCAGGTAGGGTAGTGAAAGGTGTTTCGACATGCTGAAACAACTAAAAAGGAGGCAGACGGCAAGAGACGAAGTGAAAGAAGAAGAAAAACAAAGGTCAAAGCAGTAAATATTACAGTTCAATTTTGTAAGTTATTTTAATGCCTGACTTGTCAACGTTAACATACAATATTTACAAAATGATTTATATTCTTTACTCACTAGATAAATAAATAAAACACTGTCTGATGTTTCTAATCCAATTAAAATCTAATCTGGTCTTGTTCATACGATATATCCTACATGTGTCCTGTCCAAGGCCACTGCATACATTATAACATGGATGGATCACCTTCATGCACATATGCACATATATTATTATGTAACAGTAAACCCAGCCCCTCAGGACTCCTCTCCTTCAAAACCCATTTTCTTCACCTCACAAATACATTTCACTGCATGTTTAAACTGGCACTTTATTAAAAAGGTTGTTGAATGTTTGAAAAAAAAAAAATCAGTAACCCTTGTATATTCCTGTGCTGCTGATGGTGACTGCATTTGCTTTAAACATGTATTCTACACAAAAATTCTTGTATTAGTTGTTGATCAAATAGAAAATCATTTAAGGCGAGTC